AGCCCATCTGAATTAGGACATTTAGGCTATCCATCTAATAGTAGCCCACCAATATCTTATTAACAGTAGAAGTTAAATCTTACTGTAGTCTTCAAATCTGGGTACTGTCTTACGTTTTAAAATCACAAAGGGAGTTTAGTCCCATCAGGCTAACGTGACAGTACCGACTCATGCAGCTGTAAGGTTTTCTTTTTCTTTAGTTTTTACTCGCGATCTTTACAACACACATTGCATTACGTATTTCATGGCACACTCGTTTTATGCGTATTTGGCGCCACCTATTGTTGTGGGTGTATTATTGACATGTCAAAGTCTCGACCCTGAATATAAGACGACCGCGTTTTTTCAGATGTATTTCCAAGAAAAAAAACATTGTCTTATATTCGGATCAATACGGTATATAATATTATAATAGCATTATATAGTGGTTCAACGCATTTTTTTGTCACAGATCGGACTATTTTTTCGGATAAGCAAGAAAAAAAAAATTTAAAGCACAGAGAATGACAACTGGCGCTTTTCCACTGCATGGTACGGCACGGGACGGTTCACTTTTGGGGGGGGGGTTTCCACTGGGTACAGTACCTGGTACTTTTTTTAGTACCACCTCGGTTGAGGTTCCAAGTGAACCGTTCCGTTACCAAAACATGACGTGTAAACTCTGCTGATCACGGATTGGCCGGAGAGAATCGCTACTACCTGAACTTGCAACACAAACACAACAGAACCGCTAGATTTAAATCAGCACAGCCAGCGAAAGATCGAACGCAACTGTTTTGAACGAGCGCACCTGTTTTAACAACCAAAAAGTGGCTGTTTCCCTGTCTGTTGAGGAAATACAGACGTTCCTCTCGTTGATAGCAGAGCAGCGGATCCAGCAAGAGCTTGATGGGGCCAGGCAGAATGAAAAAGTTTTTCAGGCGGCGCAACTATAAACGACACGTGAATAATCCCGCCCACTCTAAAGCGGTACTGAACTGCAGTGGAAATGCAAACCAAGCCGAGCCGTTCCGTGCCGTACTGAGCCGTGCCGAGCCGAGTTGTACCACGCAGTGGAAAAGCGCCAAATGTGAAGGGTTTTTGACATAGGCTAATTTTATGTGTGTAGGCCTATACGCAACTCAGTATTTCCGCGCTGTGTGAAACAAGTCTCTATGTTTGGGTGCGCTTTGTGTGCGAGAACAGCGCGTGAGTAATGAATTGAGCTCTCCTTCGTTTCTTCTTCTTGTGGTTTAAAATTGCTTGTACGTGTAAATTGGCAGATTAATCTGCGAATCATGTGCGTGCCGAACGGTAGGGTCCGTTTAACTCCAAATATGTGACAGATCAGAGAGAGATTTCTGAACACAAAAATAATCTTTCATTTACTTATTTAACATGAAATTGTCAAATTGCTACTCCATATCAATCGCATACAAAGAAAATACAGAATAATTAGAACAATCTAGGGCCGTGCGATTAATCGAAATCGAATCGAAATCGCGATTTGAGACGTTGCGATTTCCTAATCACAAAGCCTGCGATATGGACGCGATATTACTCTGTTCTAGAGCATATGCATGACTGCCAGCCTTGAGTTGCAGTCTTACTAACCAATAGAGTGAGCGGACGGGAGAGAGACAGAGTGGGATTATGGCGTCCACTGGGTCAGGATAAGAATTTTTGTGATGGTTTCTATAGTTTTTTTCAGCAGGGTAATGATACCCATACTGTGCTGCACATTATTGACAATATTGAGCTGAAGCTCGACTTTGCAACTTTAAAATCGCAAATCAAATTGCAATATCTGTCAAAAAAAAAAATCGCAATTTGATATTTCCCCCCAAATCGCACAGCCCTAGAACAATCATTAACATAACAGAGTGTATCATAGCCTATCTATATACATATTTCCCAGAATGTTCTTGCCACCCGGTAGCAATTCTTCCACGGGCCGGTAGTGGGTCGCGACCCGGTGGTTGGGGACCTCTGGCCTATAGCATGGTGTATTTTATTAGTTCTGCTAGTAAAAGTTCTGATTTATATATAGGCTGAGTGAGTTTGACGTTGTATTTTGTTGTTGCTTCAACTGCATTCAAGCAATTGACGGCGAATTGCCGAATTAGTAAAATGCGCACTGCACTTTTAAAGGGTTAGTTCACCCAAAAATTCTGTCATTACTCCCCCTCATGTCGTTCTAAACCCCGTAAGACCTCCGTTCATCTTTGGAACACAAATTAAGATATTTTAGATGAATTTTGAGAGCTCTCTGACCCTCCCATAGATAGTAGGGGTGCAACGGTTTAACTTACTCACGGTTTGGTTTTAGAGTCACGGTTTTGGTACGGTTCGGTATGTGCTATGTTTAGGGAAAAAACTATATTGTCAAATAAAAATAATGAAGATAACAAATAATCTAACTACAAGCAACAGCACAAATAAATACAATAGAGCAAAGATACAAATAAAATAAACAGTGCTTTTCAGGTTTTTTAGGTAGGTCTAACAAGTTTTTAGGTACAGAAATTGAATAAAGTAATCAAATGTAAAATAACATTGCATATTTGACTGTATAAATTAAAGATTAATCCTTATTAAAGTTACAAAAGTTATTCAATCAACAGCAGTGAGTGATTTCCGTGTTGTTGCTGTTTGATTAACATTAAGAAAGTGCTGTCACTTTAAGAGAACGCACTGATACTGTATGTTCAGCCGACTATGTCTGCTAGGATACTCACCAAGATGGGCATTTTGACAATTTTTTAGTGAATTTGTCCATTCAAGCACAATACTTCAAAGAGAGCTTAATATTTGCGCGCGTTCTGAGAGGCGGGTTCACGCACAGATCTTCTAACACGTTGATAACTGCATAATATCATTGCGCCTGCTGCACCCATAGTACGGCAGCAAAAGTTCCTTGATCATTACACCGGAATGAGAGTATAGTTCCTAGCCATATCGGCCTAGAAAATCTCAACTTTTCATTTTCCACCAGCCTTAGTATACGATGTAACTACAGAAGAGTCAAGTTTTAAATAGGAAAAATATAGAAATTCTTTGGTCATTTTTGAGCGAGATGCTAACGGTCTAATCGGATTCAATGATCTATGCTAAGCTGCAGCTAAAAGTGCTACCGCCAGGCCCGGAGATCGGCTGAATGGATTCGAAAACGGTAAAACTCAACTGTTTAACTCTAGGGGAGTTGGAAAATGAGCCTATTTTCAAAAATAGTGGAGTTTTCCTTTAATGCTGCATTCGAGACAAAGTTAGAAATGAGAATATCGGAGTAGAAATACTACTTCCCAGCTTCCTTGAATTTCAAGGAAGAAACTTTCACAAGATGGCGCCATGACAACGAAAACATTTTATGTTCTGCGAATTATGGCAAAATCATGAATTAAAGCAACGTTAAGGCTATCCCAAAATCTGTTTATTGTCATTCGTTATTAAAAACGTATAAACTGTCAAATATAATGCTATGCAGTTCTTGGAACCGCGTTTTTTTTTTTTTTTTTCAAATGAGAGGTGGAAAAAAGTTCCAAGTTGAGTTGACTGGAACGTAGATTATTTAATTAAATTGAACTAAAAAATGATTGATTCACTAACATTTTGTTAAAGGTGTAGTTGCTTTGAAAGTGTTGATAAACTTTCTGATCATATCACAAGATTTCTTTGAAACAAGCTGTGGCATTTTACAAATATAAGCTGATTTGATTTGGAATGTGTGTGCACGTGTCCTGTATATAGACAGACAGATCAAAGAAAACATCAAAGAAGCATTCCAACATTCAAATCGAACCTTTTTTTTTTCATTACAGAAGCCTTTGAACTTTTGAACATTATGGACATCTCAGGTGCTAAGTGAACGTTTACATTGAATGATTTTGCCATCACAGGCGCCTTCCAATGTTCAAATCGAACACTTGTGTACTTCAAGCTTTTGAACGTTAGAATTGAACATTATCAGACATAAATTAATAATGTTTTTTAACATGTTAATTAATAAATGAATACATGTTTTTTAAATTAATGAAGACCAAAGCTGCTGCACGCGCCTGTGATGCCCCAAAAGTGCAGCCTAGCTAGAAAGCTCAGTAGATTTTGAGACACAGCCAGAGTGAGTATAGTGACTGCAGCAGTATTTAATCTGCAGCTCTGTGATCAGATGACGTTGACGTGTGCACTTCAGGCCCTACTCGATTTCTTTGCATATAGACTTTTAAACCATATACTGATTATGCCTATCATTGCACACAAACGTGGCTAAAAAGAGCAGCTAACCCAATCACATCTACATGCATAAATAAACGCACATTCACCTACATATGCAGAGCAAATGCATATTTAGTCAATCGAAATAATTTGCAAACGTGTATCGACTCACCAACAGCTCGTTCCGCTTTTTATATCTTATTTTCTCGTTCACTTCTCTTCTTCAGGTTGATGTGTATGTGTGTGGAGGCTTTAAAAGCACTAGGCCTGTGTGTGTGTGTGTGTGTGTGTGATCTGGATCTCTATAAGCTACGTGGCTCTTTCACACTTGAATAGTACACCAGTTTACAGTCTCAACCCTTATGCACTCGCTTTTTTCTACGTCTGAAAACGTCCAGGGGCCGAGACAGGTCGCGATCGTCCAAAGCAAACAACTTTTCCCCGCGAGTGTTGTTAGTTTTCACGGCCGCCTCCATCCACAGCGAGCGCAGGCTCTTCAAGCGTCGGGATAATCGCCATCGTTTTCCGCTGAAGAATGTACACACACGTCACTGCGCATGCGTATCACAGCCGCGTCAACTTTCATTGCTTTCGACTTTTCTGTCTGTAGTTGTGCAGCATTTGCATACGTGTTGTTAACAGGGACAATAGTGCAATCGAAGCAAAAGCTGTACGAAAGGCTGCATAGTGTTTAAAATCGATATCTATTTATATTAACTACAATATCCTGTTACAGGCCTAAATATTAAAATTATTTTATTAGAAAATCACTCGAAATTCAATTTTCAAACGTCCAACTACCTGGAAATGTCTTACGTGTGGGAGGTTTCGGTGTCCCTCATTGGTACCGACAGATGGCGCCACAAGTCGTGTAGTCCCTCCCACAGGGGGGCTCGCAAGGTTATGGTTTGTAAACGTAACGCCCCTGGATCAGGCCTCTGTTTAAAGGGGTCATATGATGCGATTTCAAGTCTTCCTTTCTCTTTGGAGTGTTACAAGCTGATTGTGCATAGATAAGATCCCTGAAGTTGCAAAGACTAAAGTCTCAAAACCAAAGAGATATTCTTTATCAAAGTTAAGACTCTGCCACGCCCCCCTAAAACGGCTCGTTCTAACACGCCCCCACATATCTACCTCACTATGTGGAAATATTTGCATAATGCCGCCCAAATGTGCACGCAAAGAAAGAAGGCGTGGTTTCAGTAATGCAGTTAGTGTTGAAGCAGCCATGTCAGGGAGACGCTGTTTGTTTCTAGGCGAAAGCAAAAGCACTTTATTTGGCCTTCCGAAAGTAGATGCATTTAGGAATCTTTAAGATTACTTACAACAGAACAGCAATGCATTTTATGGACGACCGTTTCGTGAACCTAGGAGAGGAGGTAATTCTGACTTTGCTATGACAATCTGGTGCTTCTGAATCAGCTACTGTTTTGTTATTAGTTTAAGTATTTGCTATTGACTGTTCAAATGCTGAGTTTTGCGCATTGTGTGTGTGTGTATGTGTGTGTGTGTGTGTGTGTGTGTGTGCGCGCACGTGTGTGTGTGAGAGAGAGAGAGCAAAAGAGACCAGCTTCATCACTGTGTTTGTCACGCGACTCTCTTCCCCTTTCGGGCTCTGCTTTACATTTATTTTGAAAGATGAAGCTGGCGATTATGGTAAGGGGCGTTACATTTCCGACGAGTGCTTGTGGTGTTCGGCCAATCACAATGCACTGGGTCAGCTGGCCAATCAGAGCAGGCTGCGCTTGTCGGAAGGAGGGACTTTGTAGAAAACGAAGCGTTTGAGAGAGGCGGGGCATAGAGGACCTACGATAATGTACAGTATTTGAAAAATAATGTGTTTTTTGAACATTAAAGCATGTCAACATATTCTGTTACACCAAATACACAAAATAATGATCTTTAAAAAAGCATCATATGACCCCTTTAAATAATGTATCTTAACTTTAACTACTTAATTATAACACTAAAAAATATTCATACCAAAAAAAAGTGTCAAATTTGTGAAATGATCTGTCTGCTGAATGATACATAATTCTTGATTTACTAACTCTGTATTTTTTTTGTTTTATCTATGTATCCTTGTTTATTTTTTATTATTATTATTTTTTTCTCTCTCTTCTTTGGCTTCCTATATAATTTCTGTATTCATAATGTCATCCAATGTTACATTAATTGTTAAGTGTTTATACTTGCAATAAAAAAACTCGCACACACACAAGCAAATCAGCAAAAATAAACAAATGCATGATTGAAGTAAAATAAATACAAGTATAAATGTGATTTTAAAATAGTTTAAAAAAAACAATAAAGACATTAGAATGTTCAAATCGTATTTTTGTTATTACAGTTTTGCTCTAATTTGGATTAATTTTTTAACAGTCTAGTGTGTGTTTTTGTTTTTTGCCATTACATCGCCCTCCAATGTTCGAAACTTATGGAGGACGAAACCTGCAAAAACAATAAATAAATAAATAAATACACAAATAAATAAATAAATATGCAAATAAATAAATAAATGTCTGTTCAGCTGGCTCAGTTTTTTTTATGTATCTTGCTCTGTTGAACGGCAAAAGTGACTTTACTAGGCTATACTGGGCTGCGTTCAGCCCCGACAAAACGGTGCAAAACGTGTTTTAAACGGAAACGGTGGTGCGTTGAACACCCTGTTCTGATGACGCAAGAGTTGCAACTATGGCAGTTGAGAAGGCCATTCTTTGTGTTCTTTTCGAAGAATTTTCGGAGCCTGATGAAATCGGTATAAATACGTGTTTAATACTGCAAAATACGCTCGATGTTACAGTCACTGACCTTGCCCTCCAGAATAAAGGAGAACATCCCAATCAAATGAAGGGATTTGTGGAAACTGTGGTTCCTAATTATTGTGATCCAACATTTGCCTCGCATTTCAGGATGAAAATACAAACATTTCAGGTGAAGGATAATCCACTTCTTACCTCCGAGACTATGTTATGATCTATATGACCTTATTATTTTTATTGTGAGTATTAGGCTTATCATTATTGCTGATCACTGTTGTTGTGCTATGATATTGTAATATTTACCATTATATTCAGAAGGGTATAGAAAAGTTTATGAAAGTGTCACTCCATAATACAATAGCAACATATATAAATATGTATAGTATTTTTATGTTACATTAATCAGTATTTAGCACACCTTCCTAAGGAAAGGATATGGACCAGAAGACATTGCAATTACTAAATGATATTTAGACAGACTTAAAGAAGTTCCAGATCTATACTTGTGCCCTTATTATTTCAGTTATTTTGCCTTTAATGTAAATAAACATGTGCAAACAATATACTTGCTCTTGTGAATTTATTTGGATGTTAATTATATTGTGCCAGCGGTCTCTTTAATACCGTGTAGTTTATATACATGTTGCTGCTGATTGGGCTGACATGTTTGACACACCCACCAAACAAGAGAAAACACATCTCAAACCCCGTTGCACACCGTTTCCAGGAAACATGTCGTTCAAACCGGAAACCGTAGCAAAACGGTGCACACCGGTTTGAGCTTGAACTTGCCCCTGGATTTACACCATGCATCTCCTGTCAGCGGGAAAGCCACGCCCCCAGCTATCACAAGACCCGACCAAGTCCCCCCTCTCAATAGCATGTTGTGCAGAGGAAAAATAAATGTGGAACTACATTCAGAATAAATGAGTGATTAAAGGAAAATAAATAGGATGAGTTTAGCATTTCCTTAAACATTTTCCATTTGCCCACTAATTTATTTTATTTATTTGCCTACTTTAATCACACGTTTAATTGTTTCTATATGTATTTAAACAAGAATACGTGTGTGTATGTATATACACATATTTATTTATTTATTTGCTTATTTATTTATTTATTTTACATTTCTGCAGGTTTGGTCCTCCATACACTTGTGGTCTTAAATGTACAAATGTACAAAATAAAGCTCTATAGAAACTTTACTTACATTTTTACAACACTTGTTGTACGTGTGTCCCATTGTATAATCAAAAGTTCTACACATACTTGCTGTCTTCCTGCCCACTTGAACACTTTGGCCAAATACAGGAAATAGTATGTAAGACAAGTGGTCAAGTGCAAGACTGCAAGTGTGGGTATTGAGCCAGACCCTGAATATTTGGGGTCTATATACAGTGATGATAAAATGCACGACCGGCAGGTGGAGCTGCAGCCAATATTTTGGCAATCCAAGCTTTGCTAGATGGTACAAGGTGAAAACGTGTCTTAGTGATATTGTGAAATATTATTACAATTTAAAATAACTGTTTTCTATTTTAATATAGATATTTAAATTTATTCCTGTGATGTTAAAACTGAATTTACATTGGCCATTACTCCAGGCTTCAGTGTCACATAATCTTCAGAAATCATTCTAATATGCTTATTTGCTGTTCAGTCATTATCAATTATTATTGGTGCTCAGTAATTAATAGTGTTTTTATTATTATGTTGCTGCTTAATATTTTTATAGAAGCCATAATACATTTCATAAGTTCATAAGAACGTTTATTTGAAATGGAAATATTTTGTAACATTATAAATACCTTTGCTGTTATATATATATATATATATATATATATATATATATATATATATA